TGTATGTGAACATAAAATCTGAGTATTAAAAACCAGAAAGTGACTTGCTTTTAAAGCTTAGGTAGCTAATTTGGTAATTTCAAAAGGCTGAGAAGTCATTTCAGAATTTAAAGCATATTTCAAAATGAACTAACTCTTAACAGTATCATGCCTAACATCAATTTAATTTTCTTGCAAATCTTTCTCATGTTTTCTTCTTTCAACTCCCTCTGCAGGTACAAACTTCTGAGGTATTCCAGAGAACGTCAGTATATTGATGGGTTGAACAATTTAATATATACTCCTAAAATACTTGTCAGTAGATTGTATAAAAATATAACTGTTAATCTCATACCAGAACTCGCTCCTGTTAGAGACTATTGATGGAAGTGGAATGACAAGCTACCCTATCAGAATAACCTTTTAACACTGGAAGCTACTAATACACACTGTAAAACAAAACAAAACCAAGAAACAGCAGCTTAAAATCAGATTTTTCACCGTTTGTTGATGCATATTTGGGATGAGAAGTACAGTGATTATATGTACCGTGCATTTTGTTCTGAAAGAAAAGCCAGCAGCTACCACTCAGATGTTTACAGCATGAGACTACTGTTCAAGCCTTCATTCTTCATATTCTCTATCTTAACCACTCAAGTACATAAACTGCAGAAAACAGACTTTGTAGCTTCTCTGGAAGTAGGAACAGAGGCCTCTTCTTCCAGGATTTTTTTTTATACTAAACCGCCCCTGCCTCATATTTAAATGAATGCTTTTGTTTCTTTTTCAAATGTGTTTTGTAAATATGTGATGTAAATTAACGTGTGTACATTGCTTTTAAATTGCTCAATGTTTTATGCTTCAATATGTATTTGTGTGTTCTGTTTGAATTCTATAGGAATGTTTTTATTAGCATGAAAGAACAAGTGTAAAATGTAAGTATGCTTAAAAAAAGGTTATACCTTATGTGAAATGAAGGAAGTATTAATCGTTGGCCAGCTATGACTGTAAACTGTTATACTAGTTTTGAGCTCTAGGCCTCCCGCGTATCTATATAGAAAAAACAATTTCATGTATGAACTTGCTAGGCAGAAAGCTTTTAATTTTATTTATTGCCAGCAAAGTTGTATGATACCCTGCCTGCCATCTAAAATCTATTTATATGCCTATTGCATGCGTATTACAGAAGATCTTGCAGTTGTTGCGTATTATCATCTACAGGAACTCTTAACCGTTTCCAAGTGTGCCACTAGTGTCAATGTCAGGGATTTTAATGCCTAAAACAATGTGTCTGGGTGCGTACAGTATTTTGGTATTGTTCTTTTTTAACAAAAGTCCTAGTAAACAGCACTTTCATTCCTCCAAAATCAGAAGAGCCAAAAATGTGTCTTCATTGGAAGAATATGATAGTTAGATTTTTAAGGAAATAATAAAACATAGTCCTAATAGTTCTAATGCTTGCAGCATGGGATTTTCAGAACCACGGTGTTGGTCAAATTGTTCCGTTGATGATGATGATGATGACATAAGCAGAACTGAAAGCAGGCCAACCCCAAGTGCTTTTTAAAATCCCACTCATAATATATTAATCAGTATAGCTACGTAAGGGCCTATTCTGGTAGAGTGCTGAGTGCTTCTATGATGCACTACGTCTCCTCAAGTCGATGACTTTCGATGAGATTGAGGTTGCGCAGTCCCACTAAGGATTGGTCCTATCTGTTTCTCTATTTTTGTGGTGTTCTGTGTATGAGTAACTAGCCTCTTTCCTTGGCTTGTAATGAAAAAAACATACCTTATTTTCCGTTTGCATGTAACGTTATGCTACCTAAAAGTATCCCGCTGCTAAGCATTACTATCTTTTCCTAATATTTTTTTATGTCCCTTGTTAATACTAAGGAAAAGGTCCAGATCATTTATTTTCTATGTTAATGTGAAGATATTGACCAAGATCTGCTAAACTGTTTGTTTGTCACAGTGACTCAACTCTTTAGGAACCAAAGACTGACTTCTGCTCCCATGAAGAATGGGAAGCAGTACATAATAAGGATTGTTTATCCATCAAGTGTTCTGTAAGAGTGTTGACAAAGAATACTAACTTTAACTCGTTACTATGTGTTGGTTTCCAGAATTGCTGCCACAGATGGTGTGGTGCTTTGTATATCTGAGTTTGTTTGCCATAAACACCTTTTATTTCTTTGACATCCCAGCAGCAAATTTTGCCCTTAGCCATTCATCAATAAAGTAATGAGCTTAGTTGTAGGCATCCCAAATATTTAGTAGAAATGTAATGATTTAATTTAAGTAGTTGAGGACAATTGTAAGGGATATTTTAAACTGTATTGGAATTACCTTAAAATCTACCAGTTAATCTCATTGTGCTTTAGGAATGATGTAATGCAATCAAAATAACAAAAAGTGAGCATAAAGTGAACAAAACATCCTTCAAAAGCATGCTTAAGTGTTTGATCACCTCCTGATATATTTTTCTATAACTAAGTGTATAGAGTATTCTGAAGCATATGGATAAAGGGGAGAAAATTAATACACTGTCTGAAAAATTATATCTTCAAAATAAAATGAGTCTTATTTCGTAGCAGACTAACACAATTCTTTAAGAACTGTTGAATAAATTTTTAAATCCCTGATGTAATTTTGAAGTGTTTTCTGGTTTTCAGTATAAGTTCACCTACAATTTAACACCTATGATTATGAAACATTATTTGGTACTGTAGGTCTGTACTGTTTTCTGAGGCATGCTTTTGTGCCCATTTGCTAGGCATTCTGTGACATTAATGTGCAATTTTTAAAAATTCTAATGCATATATATGTATATATACATACATATATATGTACTTACTATAATACACATGCTGTGGCTGAACTAATACAACTTTACAGTTCTGAGTGATTAATCATGTATGGTCTTAGAAAAATGTGGTTTAAACCAGTATGTGAATGGATTATGACATATATCTGAGTTCTTAAAAAGTTTACATTTTGGTACCCCAAAGTGACGGATGTTAAATTAAGAATTGTTAACCACACTCTAAATGTGTTTTATCACTTTATTGGGAAGTTTCAAAAGTTACCAACTTTAATTACATCAAAACAGTGTTTGTATACTACCTGCTTGAACTCAGTGCTGTTCTGTAGTGAATTTTAACATAGACAGTGCCTTCAAACCAAATAAATGCGATGCAGAACTGAGAGTTGTGCACATTCCTTCTGATATTGTCATGGTTCTTGTAAAATGTAGGGAGAAGCCAGTCACATTGGCTTTTGCATTGCTGAAAAGGCAAATTAAAGATGTCTTCTCTCCAACGAGTGAACGTGGGGGGAGAAGAAAGAGGGAGTATTTGACAAGATTCTGAAGGTCTTGCAAATTAACAAGTAAAAACATTACAGAAACATTAACAGTGGAATCTGGCTGATAATGCTAAGGTACTCTTAAGCCCATTTGCTGTATTTAAAATCTAAGTAAGAGAATATAAAATATAAAATCCATTTTGCAATAGACAGCATAATGACAAGCAAGTGCAAAATGTCCTTTTTCTTGGATCTTGCCAGTCTATTTTTCTATCATTATGTTTCCTAAAGACTGTGTTGTAGTAGTGGGTTACTAATGAGCCAGTTACTTAAAAATATGAAAAGGATCCATTGTGTATCAGCAACAGAAAGTGTACTTAAGATTATTTTATTTGTAGAGATATGTAAGATAGGCTTAATGAAAAATGCACTGAAACAAATGCTGGGAATTTCCTGTGTACTATCATAGTTCTGGTTTTTTGTTGTTCATGAAAATGTTTGTACTTTTTTATCATTGTCTTTTATGAAATATAATGTTCTAAAGATTGTGTTGGTTTGTTTATTCTGAGGTTCTGTGGAGAACATACCTTCTTTGTGTTTTGTTTATAAACAAAGTGCTCATTTTTCTGGTGCTCAGTTCTTTGAAGTAACATCAAAGGGAAGGGACACCTGGACAGCAAATACATCAGGTTTGGCTGTGATGGGATCAAGCCATAGGCTAACAAATTGTTTTCCCATTATTGATATTTATATGCTTTCAGCTCTATTAGCCTAAATGACTCAACGTTTCTGTGTGCTTTTCCAAGATAAGGTCTCCTAATGGCTCTTCTCTATACTTATTTCTGGTTAGGAGTAATCCTCTTTATATATTGATTACACGAATAGGAAATAGAAGGATTAATCTGGATTTCTCCTGACATTAAATAGGGAGCTCATTTTCTCAGGAATCATCATTTATCTTTCTTATTTTTCTTTGTGTCTTACAGCTATTACAAAAGTGTCTGATGGTTAGAGGTATGCAAGTAATTTTTGGGAGTACTTCAACTAGGGACAAAGGTATTTGTATATTTTCATAAAATTCTGCAAATAAATTTCTTCAAGTACGTTGGGATATACTCTTCTGCAGCACTGGGTATGAACTGTCCTTGAAAGTGTTTCCAGTTACTTAAAATGCCTTCTTTCCTGTTTTCCAGTACATTGTATGTGTAGCATCCTTCAATGCTATTCTATCTTGCTGTCACTTTTAAGCTGCTTTTGCTTCTCTGCCTGAAACTCACCTCCCAGTTCTGATTTTTATCTGGTGATTATGTGGGGCCCTGGGTCGTAGTGCCATGTGACTTTGCCTATTGTGGGCTTCAGTAATAAGGTATAAATGATGGTAGGTGGTGGGTTGCATTTCCTGCATGCTTACTTTTCCTGAGACACCTCTCAGATGTGTGTTTGCTTCCTTTGCAGGAAGGAATGTAGTTTATTAACTTTGTAAAAGACCTTGGTTTATTCTTAGAATCCCATTAATGGAGTTTTGATGCATTTTTTTTCTAAGCCTAATGTGTTTTTTCAAACCCTAAGCTTTTCTGTAAGTATTGCTCTTCTAAGTAATACAGAAATACAGAATACTTTTATTCAGAAGAGTATTTGAAAACAAAGTGAAAACGCGTTCTTCCTAAAGTTAACAAAGTGAATAAACAACTTGGCTGTTACTGTTAGGGATTCACTAAAATCTGAAGCTGTTCATAAAGTCAGAAACGAAGTTCTTATCATTAATGGGAATTTTAATTTACAGATCTACATTTTCATGCTTAATGTCAGCTTCTATTCCACTGGCTCACTAACTACTGCTGTAGTTGAGTAAGAAAAGGGACTGAGGAGAACAGCAATGGAGTAATGTCGATAACCAGCGTCATTAGCTGTGAATACCACCTGGAAAAAGAGAAAAAAAATAAGACAAATCAGAAGTGATCTCTAGATATGAGCTTAGATGGAAGCATTGTGATAGTTTTATCTAACTTCCCACGAAATGTTGTACATAGCTTCTCTTGTGGTGATTTGATCAGTATGATCTGTGACTGCCTATCTCACAGTTTTTCTATTGGTTAAATATCCTTTGTTAAAAGCACAAGTCACTTACATTTGAAAACATTTAAAGTAATACATTTATCCAAACTGAGGTTTCTTTTTTGACCCTCATAAATGGCAACAAGTTTTTTTTTCCTTATTGAAGATCTACATTGAGCCCCATTGATTGTCTTTTTTTTTTAAAAAAAAGGGGGGAAAAAAAAACCAGCATTCTTTCCAGTATTTGAATATTTTTGTTGCTCTTATGAAGTCCTGAACTTACAGGAACAGAATTAAACATAGAGCTACAGTAACTTCATATTTTGGCCTGATGATAGTAATGAGTTTCTTTTACTCTACTTAACATATCTATTAGATAGAGAGGGACTGCATTAGTCCTTTGGCCACCTGATAATGACCTTACATATGAATGATCTACAATAGCCTTTTTTAACATCTTCCCCATCAGCTCCTGTCCTGTCCTTTGACTTCTCCTGCTACATAGTAGATTATTTTGTGTTTTGAGATGATGAGTGTCAACTTTCAGAGTAGACACAGTTCAATAACATTGTGATGCATAGCTTGTGGCCCTTTCAACATTAATTAAAAAGATGCATTTGAAGGAACCAGTGAACTGAGCAAAACATGATCCCTGTTGAGGCCTATTTTTAAGAAAGGAGGCTCCTTGCACTCTGGATTAAATTAACTTCTAGTCTGGAATATAAATTTAAATATTATCTTGATGTATTATTACATGCATGCTGTAAATCTTTCATCTTGCCTCTTTTATTTCAGTTGTTACAGAAGGCAAGACTCCAGCATTAGCCTTCATTGTCTCTAGAATAACAACGTCATCTCTCACCCATTTCAGGGAGGCAGAAACAAAATTTAACCCAGGTGTTTGCCACCTTTTCTCCAAGGAGATGAGGAATGGCTGTTTGAGCAGCAGTTGCAAACTGTACAGCTGGTGCTGCTCGCTGACCTCTCAGTCCTGCAAACAACTAATACAGTACTGCTGCTGCTACTGAGAGGTCATATGGAAGGGCTGATGCTGTGGAGGGGGACAGCCCCCAAGAAGTCCTAAACCCTGCTGCTGGCCTCAGTTGGTACCTGGTTTGGACTACCTTCGTCTAACCAGTTTATCTGTCCCGTGCAAAGTAAAAAGGCCTGTTGCCTTTTTTTTTTTCTCCCTTCTGTAAACTGAGGATCCAGGCATTCAGAACACAGGCCATACTTCCATTATCTTAAAAAAGCTGAATGGTACAAACTTGGTTTGCAGCTGTACAAATATTGGATCCAAAAGACAGAAAAATCCTTTTCTCGGGAGACTTGTCAGCTTACTCCTCCTCTTGTTCTCCCTCAGGTGTCTACAATAGTCACAGAAAGTATCACGAGCTTAAGTAGAGGTGGAAGGATAGAAAACCTCTTTCTAAGAAATGCATCTAAGAGCTTGTTGGAAGTTACAGGGAAGCTAGTAACTAGATTCTGTCATGAGTATGTTGTTACAAAGCTTTGAGACTGTGGATTTAAAGTGTTAATGTGAAAATATTTTAAAGTGAAAAGAAAGTTCAACACATGCAATTAGTAATTGAAGCCTAGACATGTGAAGTATCTGTTTTTTGCAGCTAAAGAACAGAAGATAAATACTCACATCAGCATGATGATGGAAGGGATTCAAGCCCAGTCTCTTCCAGTAAGAGGCTGTGTCAAGCTCAATCTTGTATATCCCTGCTACAAATTGTTCCTTAGTTGTGAGCTCATGGAACTCTCCGTTGTCATTGGTTTGTCTGTGTGATGGCAGAAGAATGCACTTTTATATTTTGGTTAAAAGCCTGAGAAAAATGCAGTTCTTGGCAATTGAACTTGAGTGATGTTGTGTAGCTTAAATAATATGATGAATACTTCTATTGATCTGGAATGGCTTACGTCCATCTGTATTATGGATGCCTCAGAGCTTATCTTGGCATTTGCTACTTCCATGATCACCACAGCAGATGGCTGCCTGCCATGTCACTTCTCTGCATGGTTTGGGGGTGAGTCAAAAGCTGGCATTATTGTGCTCAGACTCTTGGCAGAGTCCTGAAGTTAATTAAATGAACCCACTCAGAGGGAAAACTTCACTGCTGCAAGCAGTGTGGAAGCTTTATGATGCCCTTACTATGCAAGCAGGTGGGGTCAGCTCACTTGATTTTTCCATAGTTCTCTACTTATTTAAATACATTGAGTTGTTTTATCAGTATGAATGTTTTTTTTACAGTTGGTTATCAGAAATTTGAGGTCTGCTGTTTGAAATGACCGTAGGTCAGCCACGCAGGGAATTCCGTAAGGCCACACACACTACACAGCCTTGTGGAATTCCCTGCTGTCTGTATTGATCAGTTAGTTTTCCATCCTCAACAAACAGATGGGTTTGTTTAATTTTAAAGATGCTATCAGTGCTATCCAAGTCCATAGTACTGGCTTGAAACTACAGACCTTTGAACACCAACCAGTCTGGGGCTCCAGAACCAATATTGTCTGTCAAACATGTCTCTTGCTTGAAACCTGTTTCTGTGAAATAAGTTATACAATACTATGTTTTTGACTGGGTACGTTATCCACAAATAACAATGCTGCTGGTACCTGATTTTAGTAGCCACAAATCACCGTTTGGTGTTCTAGCTGCCAAATCTTTTTCTGGGCATATTTTATTCAAATTGCATGCAGAGAAAAATAAAGAATTGGATGTTTATGTCATTGTCCAGTGCATTACTCAGTATTTGTGCTTTAATATGGCTTATGATTATGAAGTCATGAAACACCATTTGTATCATACAAGATGCTGTGTAGTCAGTTATCAGATTTTTTTTCATCTGTTCAGATGTCTCTATTTTTCCTTTGTCATAGATTGATGGTTGTTACATAACTATTCATTTCTCTAATAAGCTTTCTCAGCTAAAAGCAAACATATCTTTAATTGAGAACAGGTATTTCAGAATCCCTTGAACTAACAAGGCTGGAGAGGTTGATTTAGTATTATCGTGACTTTTGCATATCTTGTGTTAAGGATACTTTGCTCTTTGTTTCAGATGTTATGTTTTTAAGGTTTCAGTCAACATCCAGCAGTTCAGCCGAGTATATAAAGCCTCTAAGCTCAGGTTTGAAGATAAGTAAACCGAACACCCTCTTAATGGAAAATCTCAGACATTTCCAGTGACAGAGTTAGGTGTGAGGCTATCTTCTTGCTTGAGGGGTGGGTGACAATTTAAGTAGGACACTGTGAATAGATCTTTCTTCCCCCTCTTGTACAAATATGTGTAGCCTTTACTGCAGCTGTATTTTTCAAGGACATGTTTGAGAGCACTGTTGCTTCTGCCAGCCCACTGCACTACAACAGCAAAGAGCCACTTACATACAGTTTCTCATGGACTTTCTACAAATGCATCTGAGTCTGGGATCACACTGTTTAAATTCCTGCAGTATTTCACCTTTAGCCCTGTCTCACTCTTTTAGGTAGAACAGACCTTTAACAGATCTGGGGAGAAGGTCTTGGATGGATCTTTGCAAATACCTTAGGGGAAAGAATGTTTCATTCTCTGTACACCCTAAGAATTTTTTTCAGTGTCATTTCATATTATACTTTAAGGAAAAAATTATTTTGAATTTTTAAGGTGCTAGTATATAAAAATTGAGGACAATTAGAAGAAAGCAGTCTGCATTTGAAATTCTATAAATATGTTTTTTAAAAGATATGGCAGCATCTAAATACGTGGGAGATTCTTTTCTCAATTCAGATGTAATTGTTTCTCTGGGGGGGAGGAGGTGAGAAATCTTTATCCCTACATTTTCTTCTTTTGGCTGATGCCTTTTACTTGAAGCAAAGGTGGCTATCAGATACGAAGTGGCGTATGTTCAAAAACAGTTCTGTGTTTTCTCTTTAAAGCTGTGGTGTTGTATGAAATGAAAATCCATTTAGAAAGAAGGAAAACAGACAGTAAAGGTAGGGTTCTTAACCAGAGTCGTGGCTTCAAACAACCTGAAAGAGTGCCTGATTCTTCTGGTAACAATGCAGCAGTTCATTGCTGGGTACTAAAAAGTAATATAATCCTTCGTAATGAAATTGAAGAGAAGAGCTGATTGAATTAAAGGATAGTTTAAAATACTTTCTTGTGCTCACAGCAATTATAAAGCATTATAAAACCATTTTGGTAGTTGAAACTGTAGTACAGTTAAAAGACAGTCTGCAGCAAATAAAATGTAATTCACTCAATAGCATGTTATCTTTCCTCGGAGTAAAGAAGACAAGTTAGAGAATGTGGAACTGGTTCTTCAACTCTTTGGCCTTTTCCCATTGGCTTTCCCTTCTTTCACTCATTAATTTGGTATGACTTACTTTGAATTTAACAGTTCCCAAGATCCATCTGCAGCTTCTTTATATAACTTAACTGGAACATTTTCAGCTGGACTTCCTCGCACTGAATCCAGGATTTTTATAAAAAGAGGATGCTTGGAGTCAGCAGAGACCTTCAGGTAGGAAAAGAGAGTATTTGTGTTGTGAGAAAGGTAAGTGATGATGCATAACAAAGCAGTAAGGAATATTTTTTTTTTTAGATCTGCAGAATATACCATGTTTTCCTCAGTGATATCACTGTGTATTGCAGAAATGTAGCCTTAAGCTTTCTGGGGGCTGGATAGGGCGGGACCTGGGGGGGAAGATGTCAGGACCTGTTGGGGGAGTGTAGCCATGTGCACTGGGCAGGCAGTGCGGTCGTGTGTGAGAGCATATTTCTGCTTTCTCTTTGTCATGGCTTAGCTACACATCATCTCTGGCATGAGGTGGTAGCTAAATTGTGACCTCAACAGGAAATAATTAAATCGTCAAAGGTAGTAGGAACATTTGAAAATCTGGTAACTCTTTCTCTGTCGCAATTTTGAGCACAGCTTTCTGGATTTCATAGAATCTTAGAATCACAGAATGGTTTGGGTTGGAAAGCACCTTTAACGGTCATCTAGTCTAACCCCACTGCAGTGAGCAGGGAGACCTTCCACCAGAGCAGGTTGCTCAGAGCTCCGTCCAGCCTGGCCTTGAATGTTTCCGAGGATGGGGCTTCTACCACCTCGCTGGGCACAGTTTGAGAGCCTCTGATGTCTTCTTGCCATAGAGTTATCTTAGTTCTGCTGTAAACTTGATAAGCAACGCATACTGACTGTCCTAACGCCATATTGGGTCAGATTTGTCAGCCCCTGGCAGCTCTGCAGGGATAGAAGAGGAGGGCCTTCCTTCAAAGATGGGATGGCTGTACTTTGAACACGTTTATCACAAGCAATGCTGAAGCCCTGATGTTTTACTTACTCAAAGACAGAGTCGAATCAGGGCTTTGACCTGCCATTACCTAATTCTATAGATGAAAATTGAGCTACAGAAGAGCTTTGTGGAAGGTGCTAATTAAGGATGATCTCAAAATGGCAATCATTGCAAAATTAATCGTTGTGCAGATGTTAAAAACTAGGAACCCTCTCTTACATCCCCTCTTAGCAGTCTGTGACGTACTGAACATCTCGTCAGCCAGGAACCCAGCCCTTCAACAGACCAATGTATCGGCCTATGCCCTGACACCTCAGCCTCCCTTTCTGGAACACACCGCCTCCTCGCTGATGTTCTCCTCGCTGATGTTTCTTCTGAGGTGTTGGCAAGGGAGACTCTAGTGCCACCACCTATTTTCCCGGCTTTTACACCCTGGGAGCTCAGTGAAAGTAGTCTTCCTCACAAAGGTTGGTCAGGTATGCGTTTTCCCAGAGATCAGAGCTTGAGAGGAAGGATGAGTAGAGAGGGAGAGAGAGACAAGTCTGTTCTAGGAGAATTTCAGGCTGAAGCGTCTGTGTCTCTAGCTTGCTTTGCTGGAACAAACGAGCCTTCTGGAAGCGGGATCTCGGCTTTGGCTCTGTTCCTTACTTGCATCAGTGAGTGCTGTGATCCCTTCTTGCTTGCATGGGATAGAGCTATGGTGGATAGAGCAGTAAGGGAGAGGACTACAGAAGGCATTTCTCCAGCCTGGATCTCACAACAAGAAATGGAATCCCTCATGACAGGACCTTGTTCATTGTGTTATAAGGGCTGTTAGTTGCTTGTCAACAGGCCCAAGGCTTTTGTGTAGTGAATATGGGATTTTTTTTCCCCTTCCTTCCCTTACATTGTTTTACACATAGCCGCCAAGTCTAATGACAAGTGCTGCTTCTCTGCCCATAAAGCCATCTCAGTAATCACTATCGAAGGAGAAAGAAGGACCAGAGGAAGAGAAGTCAACGCATACATTAAACCAAAGTAATTGCAATAAACTGGTATATTCTATCTTTCACTTACACTAAAGTATTGAAAAACAAAAATCAGTTGGGACTACATCATTATGAAGGACCCTCAGTCCTGCGACACTTACCGGTGGTGCAGCTTCGGAGACAAATGCCAGGCCAGCTAAGAAAACAAGAAACACAGAATGAAAAGCCATTTTGCCTACCACTAGGAAGTCTCAGTGTCAGCAAGTAGAAGGTGGTGGGATCTGTGATTTTTATATCAAAGCCTCTAAACTAAGGCTGTTTATCAGAAAACCCATATGACTTTCAACATGCCGATTCATGCTATTTACTCAGTAAACAATGAGAAAATAAGTAACTCATACAAACATGAACCTTGTCTGCAAAAATAAGTCTCTTCCATAACTGCCTGTGAAAATGTAGTGGATATTGCCTAGCTGAACTGCAGGAATCTATATTCTGGAGGGTTTTTTTTTTCTTTTTTTTTGAGGAATAGTGAGGTATAGAACTCATATAGTTGAGAGAAATACAAATTTCTTGTCAACTGAGCAATTTCAGTTTTGGTGAGAATTTCTCTGTGGTTATGGTTTGGCATAATTCACCCACCCATTTATCTATCAAGAGATTTTGCTCTGGTGGCCTTCTCCCCACCTCTGATGTAAGTGGATAATGTGTGGGCGTTCCAGTTAATCTTATGCATTCCCCCGGAGGAAGAACATGTTACTTCTGGTTTCCAGCAAGATAACCAGATACCCACCTACCATTTCTGGAGCACGGTTAAAGTCCTGCCACTTTACTTGGGCCCTAGATTCGGTACAAGCTCCGGACTTTCCCTGTACAACTGCAATTAAGCCCCCACCAGAAGTCTGTGCTTCATTTTAGGGAAATGTTAATTCTTGAAATAGAACTTTGTCTTTCTGATCTTTGGTTAGACACAAGCACATACACTCTCTTACTAGGTTTATCCTGCCCTTGGGTAGATGATAACAAGCATGCCAGGTTTGGTGGTTGGTTTTTCTGTAGTGACTACGCTTGTATGAACATATTTATGTCCTATTTTGAGGGCTGAGCATAGACCACTGCAAATCACATCTACTGGTTTTCAAGCTCTAGGCACAGCAAGATCCCATTCAGTCTGCATGCACTAAGATGGGTGCTGTTTTGAAACTATTTGCACTGCTTGCAAGAATTGTGTAATTGTGGTAGTGTCCAGAAATCAGGGAGAAAAGTAACCAAATAGTGTCACGTTAAAAGCAAGCTTTTGTAACTTGTGAATTCACTAGATGTGCAGTCATCCCAGCAGGCTCCGGGTGTGAGATAAACTCCAAGGTCAGTAGCAGATGAGTGCTGATAGTTTCAGAATGGCATGATTTCAGTAACAATCTCTGTAGTTTCTGTAATCCCATTAAACAACAATTCCTCTGCTTCAGGATATTTTAGATACAATAGGCCTTCATACTACAGAAGTTTCTGCTAAAGCCCTCAAACTCTTTGGTCAGTTTATAAACAACATTATTTGAATCACAGTCACTCTACAGCTTACCTTTTCCTGTTTCTAAAAATATGAAGAGACTATTAAGATGATGCTTCTGTTTTAGGACTTTTTTAATAATGGCTAGAGATTTGACTTATTAGAGATTTAATTGGAATGCACCTGAATTACGGTAGCCAACTGGGTTAAAGATGAAAGTTATTAAAAACAGTGCTAATTGAAATTGCTTCAGAACTTCCAAGATTGATTGAGCAGCAAACTTTCCTCTTGAAACCACAAAGTGTTGAGATATATCTGAAGTTTTAAGTAAAGGTGCATAGATTTTAACACTGTCAGCTCTCTGGATATATATATTACAACAGTGTTTCTGCATTGTTTGTTCTGCTGCTAAGTATTCAGAATTTATTTACCCTGTCACCTAGTTGATAGTGGGACCATCTCTTCTGTGTGTAAACTATGAGTAGCACAGATTACTTTTAGTTTGAATACATGTGTTCGGTCAAATTTTTTTAAGGTAGCACAACTCTGACTTATTATTTTGAGCCAATGCATTTGGTGAGACTATTTTAAGGTGGTGGAGGAAGACAACAGAAGCAAATCAAGTGTTCATTTGTTTCCATGTGCCATCCATGGCTTCCAGATGTCCTTTACACTTGAACATCATAACGTCTTAGAACACAATGAAACTTCACCAATAGAATCAAAACTGTTTTAAAGAAGTAACATTTTATTGACTTGTCTGAAGTTTGCCAAGTTACAAAATGAAGAAAAAAAAAAACCCTAATGTAGCAAAAAGTTATGCATTAGCAGTGGGAAAAACCTTCCTCCTAAAAGCCTACAGTAGTTCTAAGCAGAGGACGGTGTTCGTGTAACGACATTACGTGTTTATTCCTGGGGATCGCTGACAACAGCAGTGGTTGAATAAGAGAAAGGGCTGAGGAGAGCAGCAATGGTATAGTGGCGGTGACCGGAATCGTTAGCAGTGAACACCACCTGGAAAAGAGAAAACTTGTCATCACGATGAAAAATGTACATTCAAAACTGCCTCATTAGGAATTAGCAAGCACACTCCATTTCCTCTGCAGGTGTCTTTGCCAGTTCTGTTCCATCAGTGATTTTACCCTTCTGAAGGGTAATGCTGCCCGGTACTTTGGGGTGCTCGCTGAAGACCGAGAAATTTGTGAGATTTGGACCCGGCTCTACAAAGAGCCCCTGCTATGGTGAAGCTACATGGAGATACCTGGTACCAGAGCCAGGCATGCGTATTTCTGGTTTGTGATGTGGAATGGGAGGATGAAGGGGAGGTATCTCGAACAACCAATAAGAAGGACAGAGTGGTGAAATCCCATCTAGTGAACTTAAATACAACCTCGGTCTGAGGTCTCCAACCAGGGTAGGCAGTTGGAGCCCCAAGCTGCTTTCTGTACTTGAGTGCCTCACCCCTATTTTTAACACAGCCGGGGATGGGTCAGTTCTTGCATTAAGAACCGAGTGGCTAGACTTGCCAAAACAGGGAGAGACCCTTGTCCTAAGATAATTCAAATTTGCAGCTCTCTAAATCTGTCCCTGGAATTGGGACAGGCAGTTCGCAGAAAATTGTTGTCACTTGGGTTAAGCTCACTTAACCATGATGTACTTTCTACGAGAGGACTAGAGACTTCCCACCCTACATCCCAGTCCTGCCAAAGTCAGAGCTGCTGGGATGTGAAGACTGTAGGCTTCAGTTACACTGCATGCAGATGGTCATTGAACTCTGCCCACTTCCCAGGCTTATTTGTTGACCTGTAGGCTATTACATCAAAGAAAAGCATCCTCAGAAGCCTAGCTGGAATCACCTTTAGAGATAAAGCCGTTCTGTAAGAGCCAGCAACTTTCAGACATCCAAATGGTTAGGGAATATCTTTTTAGGATTGTGTATTTGGCCTAAATGATCCAAGCTGCACCTCAGAGTTTTTTTGGTTGGTTTTTTTTTTTTTTACGTGCTTGGGCTTCAGTCATTCGTTTCCACAGAACTTCAGAGTTTTGTGGTTTAAAATGTTCTAGAACGCAACCTGTAGCTGTTCCAGATCACTTAATTTCGAGAAACTCAAACTGAATGGCAGATTAAGCCTGAAGAATTTGAACAAATTTTTTTTGGAAGTGCTAGATAATAGAACACGCAATAAATTGGTGTTGGGCAGAGAGGAAAGGGAGGCACTAAGATATGATTATATTGAAGTCAGGGATTTTCAGGTGGCTAATGTGGGAGAAATTGCTCTGATTAAAAAATAATTTATTTCCTATAAAACAAGGGCTTCCAAATCCCTGTATTCCTTCAGCAACCGTAAAAGGAGTCTTGTTTTTTTCCTTGTTTGTTTTTAAACACTATGTACCTTTGAATAATGTAGCTCTTTTCGAACAAAAGTCCCTACTGGTCTGAATGGGCACAGCTCTGCTCTGGAAGAGCTGTGCCAGTATTTGCAGAGGAGTTGGCTCCTTCCTTTGGCTTAGCCAGCTACACACTTTATTTACCCGATCTTATGTGGCAGTGAACCATTTCACCGAACAGTGCTGCTCCTTCAGTATTAAAGGACTGAAGAACTGTATTTGTTCTTTCCAGGTGATGCCACTACACAGTGAATGAGTTATTAGGTATATTTGCAAATACTTACATCAGCATATTCATGGAATGGAGAAAGGCCAAGTCCCTTCCAGTAAGAGCTGGTGTCAAACTCAACCCTGTATATTCCTTCTACAAACAGTTCTTCTGTTGTGAGCTCATGGATCTCCCCGTACTCTGTGGTTTTCCTGTAATGGTAAAACATCTACATAAATATTTCATACTGTCATTTAGGTGCTAAACAGAAGCAGTCAGTGTGGAATATTAAGTAGCAGAGGTGCTGCACAGCCAAATTCTACATTGAATGCTTTCTAATCATTCTAAATAATTCTAAATAATTCCCTCCTTCTATGTAGTGTATGTCTCCATATTGCAGAGACTGCCTTGCTTCCAACGCATCCATACACATCACAAATCAAAGCTGGATGGCTTTCACCGGTCATTTCTGTTGTTGCGGAAGGGATTATAGTTAAGGCCCCTCTTTTATTATCATGTTTAACTTGTACCAAGTGCCCTCTGGAACCAAATGTTAGTGGCTTAGGAAAAGGATTGTCATGATGCAAGGCAAGATGCCAAATCTCAAATTATAATTAAAAAGAGATTTTAGCAGAAAATTATTTTATTCTCTGGCTGTTCCCACTGAGGCTATAAGCTTTACATCTATACTCTGATGTGTTTTTGTGTGACCTTGAGTGGTAGTGTCTTGGAACAACAATTTAGCATCACAAGTTTTTATTAATTTGAATTACAAAGCCTTGGTCGAAGAGCAGGGGCCTTTTCTACTGGGTGCCATGTCAATGAGCAACAGGAATTCCCAGCTCAGAGAGATTATGCACTCAGGTCATAACAAAAAACTGTGGGTGAATGAAGTCCAGAAGCCATAAGGAATTTTAGATGGCATTGCATCCTATTTGTTTGAAAAGTAGCAAGCTTCGTATGACAGCTTTATTTACATACTTAGCTCCTAAACGCCATTTATCTCTTTTACCTCCTTTTGTTTCTGTTTTTTTTTGACCT